ATCGCATTTAGGTTGGAGGCCATTGCTGCTAGGATGGAGGCCATCGCTATTAGGTTGAAGTCTATCCCAATATAGGTTGGAGGCCGTTGCTTCTAGGATGGAGGCCATCGCTATTAGGTTGAAGGCTATCCCATTTATATAGGTTGGAGGCCGTTGCTTCTAGGATGGAGGCCATCGCAATTGGGGAGACGCAGTACCTCACGACACAATGGCATTATGGAGAACACCACAAAATAGTTATTGGTGCAGTTCAGTAGACTTAGTGTATCGGTACATTTTCGTGCCTTGTTGTGTCGGCGCTGCTTTGCTGTGTTGAATGTGTTTGATGTTCTGGTGTGAGAAGGCTTCCCAACATGCTGTTCTGTTTTCTTACTTGTGCAGCCCCCGTTCTGTACGGCTCTGACCTTCAAACGATGGTAGTCTTAGTTCATGCTTGGGAGCGAACCAAAGTCCCGGTTTGGCCTCATATTTGCCAGCTTAACCGCCAGCTTGTCGAGCTGCATATTGTGGCTACACCAATGCTTGACAGATGAGGTAGACTTACATGCAGCTTCAGCTGCCTCCTGCCAGGAGCCTCGGAACTGATGGCTTGCGCCAAATGCTAATCTCCACCTTGGAATCACTCTACGAGGACTTTGGATGGCAAATGCGGGAATGGGACAAACACAGACAGAGCTGACAATTTCTCCGAACTCGAGGATTCTTTAATATTCTTGATACTTGTCTATCATACAGTACCTTCATTCTCTTGCAGAGCAGGTTTTGCAGAGCAGTTAATCTTTGCAGTGTTTGAGGATCGCATCAAACCTATGGCAAACTACATCAAGGGCCGTTTGAAAGAAAGGTCTCCCTCGCGGTTCTTTTGAGACTCAGTCACCTTTGGCAAGTTTAAGGGCTGCCGCCCTGCCGCTGACCTTTCAGCTCACGAGGGGGTTGGGGGTAGGGGCGACAGGGATTCCATCCAGAGAAGTTGTGTGTTTTGAGTACATGATAAGATTTAGATGTAACGCAGCAAATGTTTGCAAAGGCAATTGTGGGAGACACTGTGTGCGACACATTCGACGACCCCGCCTGCCCGAGACACTGCACCAGCCCATGTCCCAGCGGCAGATACTGATACATACCAATACAATACCTTTGCCCCTTCTGCTCCCAAGAAATTCGCAGTTTCATCCACACTGGGCCAAATCAACCATCGTTCCGCCTGCGGCCACCAATTCCGCGTCTTGAAGGGTATTGTCTGCCATACATGTCCGAGCTGTGGCACCATTGTGTTCTCGACCACGCCGACAGGTCAAGTTCGCATTAACCACGCAGCCTAAGGGCAAACCCTGCCATTGCCGCTCCTGGTTCGTCGAAGTGAATTGCCGCACGCGCGTGGGTGTGTGTACCCCTTGGACTCATAGGGATTCCGTTGAATTTTTCTTTTGTTTTCAGCAGGGGGGCTGGTTGTTCATGCAAGTACCAGCCCAACGAAGAGGCTTGCATTGAACACTGATATCGGTGGGGACGCTCACCAACGTACCTGCTCTGAACACACTGACTCCAATGGTCCTCCCTCGCTCAGGCTGTTTCTAGGTTTTCAGGTGCTGTAAAGTGCTAATGAGTTCTGCAGACTTGCACGGACCGTCGTCATTCTGTCGCGATTCCGCTTTTCGTGGGCCTTGGAGGTTTCGTGGAGGTATCAACTTACCTGAACGCTGAGGCGGTCATACCTAGGTGGGCGTGTGGCGTGAGGCGTTCAGTTCCGTACGCAATATCTCGAGTGTGTGTGTGTGCCCCTCGTAATCACAGGGATCCAGTTGGATTTTTTGCTGAATTTTCTTCCTTTCCCGCAGGGGGTCCAGGCAGTTGTGAGTTGTCCCTGGACCAACGAAGACGGACTCACAACTGGTGAAGCGAGAAGGGACGCCTTCTTGTGTACCTGCACAATTTTTAAAATTTCGTAAAGGTCTAATGAGTTCGGCAGTCATGCACGATACGCCGTCATTTGTCGGTTCGTTCTCGATTTGAGCCTTTGGCATTTTCTCCGTTTGAAGACCCCGAGGCCCCAGTGGTCCTTACTTGTACTCTTAGGAAATGGTACCCTAGGCCGGCGTGTGGCACTGCTGTCAGTTCCGTAGGCATATCCATAAGTGTGTGCCATGCAAAACATGCTACCGGACAGAAACCACTACAATGTATTTGTTTCTACACCACCCTCTCCCCGAGCTTTGCCATGCTATTGAGTTGTTCTAACTCCACGCCAAAAATGAGCCGAGACAGCCTCCGCGTAGTGCAAACCGTTGCTAGATGATGATCATGATGATGATGATGAAGATCGCGACGAATGTAGCCACAACCCCATGCAGGAGACCACCATGAGAGAACCACCGTGCCATGCACGCGTCGACCACGCACGGCGTGATTTCCGAAGACCTGCGGAACTAACTATGCTATTTTTTGTGTGTATTGACGGCGCGAACCGGCGGTGTGGGAACTCTTAAGCCAGGCTTCGATCAGAGTGGCGAGGGCCATGGCCGATACAAAACCTGTTGAGAGATTTGAATAAGACACAAACGGAGTACCGAGAAACCGAATGAACACAGACTACAATTCGGTACTTTGATCACCTGTGCAGGGCCCCGATAGGCCTCTGCAACCTGGAGGGCCCCACTTCAAGAACACCTCACATCGATCAAAAAAAGGCGAGGACAGGAGAGTGATGACCAGAGATTTTAGATAACCAGAAGTGAGAACGAACACTGTGTATATGTATTATGAAACATGAATCCGATGCCACCCCCGTTACAGCGAGACTGAAAAGGTCAGAGCCTTCGTTGGCAAGCCCACTGAAGCCGTAGCCTGCAACCTGTGGGTTGCTGCTCACTAACGACACCTGAAGTCCCGAAGTAGCCTCAACAAAAGGTAGTCCTCCTGAAACGTCGCAGATGTCGAGATGTGCAGCGCAGGTACCTTTGGGTCACAAATACACCGAAAACTGAGGTTGCTGGACCACACTAGCCCCGAAACCGCGCCAGCCCGAAAACCCCACGAACGGTATCAGTGCAAGTGCACGTCCACCCAACCGCCCAGCGTGATGGACCGATTCCGCCTCCTGATTCCCAGATAACCTGAACAGTCCTGAAGACATGCAGGGAGGACTCCCAGCGAAAGGGGGTGGGATTGGCTCACTCTCGTGAAACCTGACTGGACCGAAATGAACGAGACACCGTCCGACTCCAGAAGTCAAGGTGTCATCTATCTATCCCTCATATATATGTAAAAGCACCGACGAACCCATAAAGCCGAGAGTAATTGTCCGCAGACCGCCCGCCATCGTAGGTCCTCGCAAAACACTGCTTTCTGATTGTTTGCAAGCTGACGTATCCTTTCACCCGCCACGCTATTACCCAATCTAATTTCACACCAAAAGTGGGCAATAAATAGCCACCAAAACCGGTCGGCCACTTTCTGCCGACAATACAACTCATTCTCTCGACCTTGTTTTGAGACCCTGTCTTAATCTCCCGACATACCCTTTTCACAGGTCTGTTCGTCTGTTTGTTTGTCTGTCTGTCGGTCTCTCGGTCTGTCAATCTGTCGGTCTGTCTGTTTGTCTGTCTGTTTGTCTGTCTGTGTATGACCGATTTCTCGTGCAGTGTCCTCTTGTGCGCTCCCCCCGGCTGGGGTTGGCGGATAGTTTTTCAAGACTTTTGCACATATTTTGCCAGGTCAGTCCCGGATGTCATAGTGAAATCGTTTGAAGACTTGTACACTCAGCACCCCGACCTCTTCGAGGCAGTGATCCACACGAGCCCAAGACCTGACAAGATTGCTAATCACGCGCAATGTGATACAACGAAGCAATGCAGTACACAGCATGTTGCATTCGTATTCATGACATCAGCCACGAGCGATCGAGACTACAACACACACAATCCGTGGGTTGTGCAGGTTCAGAACCCAAAGTGTGGTGAGGAGGCAAGGACTACTTGCTAGACACGTTGCAATGAGACATTTTTGTTGGTGGTCTTGTCGCTAAGGGTAGTTTTTTTTGCAACTTAAGCTGCTTAACAAAACTCCATGGGCAAGAAGGTGTTGCGAGATATAATATAGTCTTGCCATTCCTTGTCCGATGTCCTACTGCAAGCCAATTCAAGCCCCATGGTCCACTGAACCACGCAAGCAAGTAACAAGCCAAGCAAGTCAACCGAGGAGTCAAATCAAACAATGCGACCAACCCTGGCCCAACAAGCAAACGAGAGAACTAACCGACAGCTGACACAACCAGCTGACCAACTGCAAGTACGCAAGACAAGCAGCCTAAATAGACAAGCAAGGGAGTCAACCCAACATACTCCAACAAGCAGACCTCCAGCAATCCAAGATCCTGCATAGTCGCAAGTTACGGGGTTTCTCATAAATTTATGGGACCTCTTGCCCAGTCAATCTTGGCATTGACTCCCCCACACCGCAACCCTTAAGACTTTTGGTCCATCCGAACTCTTGTTGTTCTTTGTTGGCTGGGATGGTATTGATGGTATTGACGCGTGTTGAAAGCAAGTCTCGCTTGCAGACTACCATCTACTTCCACAAGGCACCCACTTGGTTCAAAGGCCCGCTGTGCAAAGGGGACAATCTTAGAAGAGTTGAACCTGCGAGCGCTTTGTGCTTCGAACGTAGCGGCAGGCTGGATTGACATTGACTCTTCCCAGGATCCCTATGATGAGTTTTTCACTCGGACTTGGAGAACAGCAAATGTTTGTATATTATACTTTTGTGCGTGCTGTACCGAGGTCCATGTGGAAAGAGTTTGCAAAGTTCTTGGATGGTGAGCATACCTTTGCCGGAGGCATAGTGGGTAAAATAGTGCTCAAAGTCTTCTCCCTCTGACTTTGGCTAGGAGTCCGAGAAACTTGAATCTCAATTGTCAGTTCCTCAATGTTTAGAGATGAAGGTTCTATGGTTCTGGTTCCTGACATGTTTGAAGGATGGCTAAACGGATGATAGATTCCGATCGCGAAGGACCTCGCATCGGATTCTGGATTGTTGCAAAAGCTAGCCGCTAGGGTAGGCTAAAGTTGTTTTTAGCGAACGAAGTGAGAATTGCTCAAAAGTGGCCAGCCTGCTCGTTGTAAGAGCGGCTTTAGAGGCTTTGGGGTTATGCTGAACATGCAAGGTCAAAGAGAGTTGGATAATACTTGGTTTGCGTGAGCAGTATATATATATATACATACTATGTATTTATATATGTACACATATGCATTGGTACATGATGGGAGGATGGGGTGGTGCCATACATACAATATGCCTTTGCAGCAAGGGCAGTCTGCACACTGAACTTTTGTGACATAAGGACTGGAAGACAAGTGACAAGTACGGACAGCTTATTCAGTCTACAAATGTTCGAACCAACACGCCGACATTCACTCGACACTTTCAGTCCTTTGAACGGAACTTTACAGGCCCCTTCTTCGGTCTGTTTGTGTATGTCAGTGTATGTATGATCTTTCTTTCTTTCTTTCTTCTCTATCTCTCTCTCGCTTGTTCTTGGGTTTTCACATGGTCTTCATGGGTGAGCATACATAAAGCACAGGGCCGTTCTTTTCATGTCACCACAGATTCCAACCGATTGGCGGACCCATTTCTATAGCAATACTGGGGCACCCTGATCATTTTGGAACCCAGAAACGGATCATTTTGGAACACGAATCATTTTGGAACACAGAGGAAAAGAAAACTCTCCGGGACTGCAGTCTGACACCAGTTTCGCGGATCATTTTGGAACACACATCCTTCGGTAGTGCTTCGAAGGCATCATTTGCTAGTGAAAATGAGCGTTTCGTACGAGACTTCCTCCAAAAGTGAGCCGCGCTTGTCTCCAGAACAAGCGTTTCGTATGAGACTTCCTCCAAAGTGAGCCGCGCAAGTCTCCAGAACGAGCGTTTCATACCAGACTTCCTCCAAAAGTGAGCCGTTGGGTTTCTTTTGGTTTGCCTTAGGGCCTTGCTTCTTTAGGATGTCTTTGGGTTGGACCTAGGTCTTCACTTGTGAGGGACTTAGGGCTTCACTTCTTTAGGGTCTCTGGTTGGTTTGGCTTAGGGCTTTGCTGCTTTAGGATGTCTTTGGGTTTGACTCAGGGCTTCACTTCTTTAGGGTCTCTGGTTGGTTTTGCTTAGGGCTTAGGGCTTCACTCTTTTAGGATGTCTTGGGCTTCACTTAAGGCTTCCCTCCTTTAGGGTTTCTTTTGGTTTGGCTTAGGGCCTTGCTTCTTTAGGATGTCTTTGGGTTGGACTTGGGCCTTCACCACTCCCCAAAAAACACTTCCCAGAAACCACTTCCCAGAAACCAGTCGCCAGAAACCAGCCCCCAGAAACTACTTACCAGAAACCACTTCCAGAAACCAGTTCGCAAGAGCCACTTCCCAGAAACCACTCCCGAGAAGCCACTCCCCAGAAGCCACTCCCCAGAAATCACTTCCCAGAAACCAGTCCCCAGAAACCACTTCCCAGAAACCGGTTCCCAGAAACCGGTTCCCAGAAACCACCCCCCAGAAACCGGTCCCCAGAAACCACCTCCCAAAAACCACACCACCCCCCAGAAACCACTTCCCAGAAACCACTCCCCAGAAACCACTTCCCAGAAACCACTTCCCAGAAACCGGTTCCCAG